CCTCCGTCTTCAACGTCTCTGGCCTGTGTTAACGGGCAATTACAGATTTCATATTTTCACATAAATTACATTTTGGAAAACGATTGCATTGCAACGCAGTTTGTGCAAGTCCAGAACAGAGACGAGTTGCTTGCAATAAGACAAAAAACGTCCGGTTGCCGATCGCGTAAGTTCCAGGGGCAGCTCCTTAAATTCGTCCATCCTACACCCACGTGACTGACCGCTCGCTCGCACCAACAGGAGGAGGAGGGAAGTGTTACTATCTACAAAGCACTCAACCTGAGGGATTCCTACACATTCAGTCGTTGAGGACACATGAAAAACAGCGCATACCGCAGGAACGGTATAACGGAAAATATTAGCGTTTTGAAACCGTGAAATTTTCAAATCGCGGTATACCTTGAAAACCGGTAATCGGCCCATGCCTAGTGCAGACACTAGCTCTCAGCACTAATTGAATAAGCACTGCTAACTCTGCTTTTAGCCCTCTTCTGTGGCTAAAGTTTCAAAGTATATTAACTCAATGAAGTTATGAGTTAATCTAAAGATATATCAACTAAATTGTCGATTAGTAAGGTCGGCTAGTTCATCTAGGTTTTTTAGCAGTGGTGCATAACATTTACTTAAACATTCCAGTAACTTGACAAACTCAGTTGTCTTCCTTGTTCCTTGTTATCAAATAGATTTTCCATTTTGTAACAACTGTAAAAATGCTGTTCATTGTCTCATAGGCCTATACATTGTGTGTGTGTGTTTCTGAATACATTATTAACATCTAAAAAAAAAATCATTTTATATTTCTTCATTGTTTTTTTTAATTTTGTGTATAATTATTTTTATATTTTAGTCATGTGTTAATCAGCTAATCAATCTATCAGTTTGTAACGTATAGAACCTTTTTGTATTGATTAATGTCTTCTCTCTTTAGATGGCGAGGGTGATGCGAACTCGGGTAACAATATTGCCTTTGTTCTGGTGCTTTTCTTCTTCCTGCTGGGGCTTCTGGGAGTCCTTATCTGCCACATCCTGAAGAGGAAGGGCTACCGCTGTACAACTGAGGCAGAGGAAGATGAGGTGGAGAAAGAGGAGGACGAAGAGAAAGATCCGGAAAAAGGAGGTGAGAGTGTTTTGCTGAAATTTGGTTAACATTAGATTGCATATACTGACCATGTTTCTTGAAACGGCTGAAGGAGGTCAAACTTCCTCCTAGTGCTGGGCGGTATACCGGTTCATACCGAATACTGGTGTTTATTTTTGTTATATGAATTTTTAAAAAACCGCAATACAGCGTATGTCGCTTAAACAACGTTCGGAACGCGACACTGTTTGAAACTTTAGTTTGTTACTCCGACGCAGGCAGTTCTCTGCATGAGACAAAAAAGTAATATAGCCAAAACAACCGCATAGCCGCTCTTTAGTGTAGATGCATGTTGATTTTATCAGACGATGCCGCGATTATAAATGAGTGACTCCTGGTTAACATGTATTTATATTCTCTGTTCGTCTGTTAATATCACATGCACTTTTTTGTTTGTTGTTTTTTTTAGTTTGTTACTCAGATGCAGGCAGTGCGCTGCATGAGACAAAAAAGTAATATAACCAAAACAACCGCATAGCCACTCTTTAGTGTAGATGCATGATGATTTTATGAGACGATGCCGCGATTATAAGAGAGTGACTCCTGGTTAACATGTATTAAAAGGGGTCGTGTTTAGTCACTATTTAGTGTGGTATTTTTTGACAATATTCACTCATGACAGTAAAATAGGGCATTCTAAGTCAATATACTGCAGTATTTCCTCTCTCAATCAGTAGAAAATATGGTTAACACTCGGTCATGCATGAAAAAAAAAATACCGTCATGTACCGTGAAACCGGTATAATTTTGAAAAATACAGTGATATAAATTTTTGGTCATACCGCCCAGCACTACTTCCTCCCAGACGAATGGCATTCATCATACAGTTCATCATACAATTTTAATAGAGACAATACCATTTCGGGAAGGAGATTGTGAAATCTTTTGATAAGGATCTTACAATGACCACTGGAGCTATTTTTTTATTTTTTTATTAATTGGTTCTTCAGTGTTTGCTGAAGTTTAATGGTTTGTATATGGAAATGGTCTAAAAAGTGTGTGGTGTATAAGCAGTGGATTAAAATGAAAATAAAGACTTAAGAAGTAAATATTTTTAAACCACTTTCCTCTTAGCAATCAGTTGAAGGTAGGGATGTAACGATTAACCATGAGCCGGTTGAAAATCGATTCAAATATGTGACGATTCAAATCGGTTGAGATGCTAAACAAATCGCGATTCATTTAGGGGTAGTTTATGAATCCATGTCTGAGGGGAACTTGCTGTCTTTAGAAAAGTTTAGATGCAGGGCTCTACAGTGCGACTATTTCAGTGGCATTTGCGACTGTAAACTACTGCGTGCGACTATGAAATTTTTAGGAGCACCAGTGCGACTGACCAGATCATCATACTTGTGATTGCGCTCAGGGGAGCTTCAAAGGTTTCTACGTGTTTTTGCAGCGTTGAGTAATGTATCACAGACATATCTCATGAATCCTTTCATAAGCAAAGTGTAGACAAAAATCGTGAATTGAATCGAATCGTGAAATCAAAATCGTGAATCGAATCGTGAGTTGAGTGAATCGTTACATCCCTAGTTGAAGGACCACCAAAGGTTAAAAGTGGATGTGTGACCTCATTCCAGGGTGTTTCAAGTGCTTGTGGGATAGCGGATTTAAACTGAGATTTATATTCAGCCCACTTGGAAGCTGTTTTGTTTTTCCTGTTTTCAGACATTGTTTAGAGAGGTGAAGAAATGTCAGAAATGTAGAAAAGTCTCTTTTAACATACTATCATGCTTGTCTTATTTAATCTCATTAAAGCTGCTCATCTTCTCGTTATTTTGACACGTCTGTGATTGTATCTTGAGTATTTACATAATCAGTTTTAGTGTCATCATTTTTAGATTGGAGAACAGACAATACATTATACTCCACTGATGAGTCGTGTTTCTTCCTCATCCTTCCTATCAGCATCTTGGGGAGGTTTTGGGAGTTGGCTCAATCATATATGGCCCTGCCAAAGACGCATCACGTGTGCTAAAGAATAAAGTTACAGTTTTATCAGCTATAGGAAGATAAATTCAACTTGACACGCCTTGTGGTTAAGAACTGGCCTTGCCACAGCAGTGCAAATTGTATTGTTCTCAGTGTTCGCCTTGCTTGCGCATTACTGTTTGTAACCATTTTTGTCTTTGCGTCGTTTAAAACTGTATATTTGTTTTTAGGTGTACTGCTGCTATGGTTGTGTCTAGGAGCGTTTTAGCTCCAGGAAACTATCTCTTTCTTCTTAGCATCTTATCACCCTCATTTAAGCTAAAGAATCTACCATGTAATTTTTAAAAATTCTATTTTTTTTTTATGTATTTATTTTCAAATGCAAGTCTATATGTTAGTTTGTATGCTTTTCTAGGATTGTTCACGTGGCATTGTCTGAATTCTAGGAAACTTAAGTGTGTGTGTGGACTTGTTTAACCTGGCACAACCCTACCTCTCTTTCTTTCACTCTCCTCCTCTTTTTGTTTGTCTTCAAATCTTTGGATCCACCCATATCCCATTGCATGTGATTGAGCACACTCTATACATTCCCCTCAATATTCATATGTATTTATTTATACAGGGCCATCTGCCTGAGCAGTGTTTTTTAGTATCATTCTGTTTTCTTATAATATTTATTACTACTTTGATTTAATTGTAGTTTTGGTCATTTAATCTGCTTTTTTCATTTTTTTTTTATGCTTTATTTCAGTTAACATTTTAGTAATGTAGTACTTCATCTTAAGCTTATTTTATTTTAGATGTAGTTAACAATAACAGCACTATGCCTGAGTCATTTGCTGTAAATATTAGTAATCTCTGGTTTATTGTTGGTAAACCTAGACTGTAGGCATTTTGACATTGTGTATGGAAATGATTTAGTTGTAGATTAATACATGCAATAAATAAACAAACAAACTAAATAAAAAAAGAAATAAAATTTATGACTGCTATTTTTTTATGACTCCAGACCTACAGTCTGATCCCGCAGCTGTGACCGCAAATTCAACACAGGAAGTCTGTCCTTTCCAGCAGGGGTCCATGGCTTCAGGAAGGACATGGGTGGTGGTGTGTGTGTGTGTTTTCTGTAAACGGCACCCTCTGAGCTAAAGATTTTCAGAAATTCCCTTCCATCTCCAGATGCCTTTATGAGACCTTTCACTGAGGCCAACAGACCATATTTATTGTTAGTATTGTAAATGTTAGTGTTTTCTGCTATCATAAGCAAGTCCTTTTAGTACAACTGTCAGCAAATTTAGCATTTCATACCACCTGCGTATTGAGTGTCATAAAATGACAAACACTAATAACAGTGATGACAGTTTGATACAAAGGCTGTTTTGTCTCAAAAAACAGCACACCTGCACACTTTTCTGGATGTTGTGTGCTTCAATTCTGCTTTGGTTCTGTTTGTATGACACAAAACACTAAAGTGTTTTGTTTTTTTTCAAAACCAATGTCACTTTCAATTCCATTTTCACTTAATTTTGTTTTTATAACAAAGGCAAGTTAACCAATATTCAATAGCTCTTCCATTTTTAATACAACCCATCTCTTTCTCTCTCTGTCAGATCTGAACGACACCTTCAGTGAAGGCAACACTGACACGGTGGGCCAAATTGTTCACTACATCATGAAAAATGAAGGTAAGCTCAATGAATTTGTTGATTAAAGATGAGTTTAGACATCACTAGATTACGTACTTATTACACTTAAAGGGTTAGTTCACCCAAAAATTGAAATTCTGTCATTAATTACTCACCCTCATGTCATTCCAAACCTGTAAGACCTTCGTTCATCTTCGGAACACGCGAGAAGATATTTTTGATTTAGGGATGGAACGATTACCGGTTTCACGATAAATCACGATAAAATGCCCTGACGGTTAGTATTATCGTTTAAAATTGAATTATCATCAAAACCGTATTTGATTATTGTGATTTGGAAAACTCGCGGTAAATCCTGTCCAGCCAGCATCAGTCTGACGCAGAAGCAGCATGCAATGTTGTTGTTGTT